GGAGGAGGGAAAGATTCATTTGAGTGTCCAGATTTCCCTTTTTTTTTTTTTTTGGCAGTGTACCTTTGAATAGCGTATTATAATTATTTATCACAAATCAAATGTGGTATTCAGCTTGAAGACTTTTTTTTCAAACTGATTGTGACAGGTCTACATCATCGTGTTTCTTTTAAAGGTTTCATTTTTGTATGAGTTTGTTTTCTTAAATGTATTTTTGCTTAGCTTAATTCTGAAGCACGTTCAATTAAGCCTTGCAGGTCAAAGGCCGCCAGCTGTCAGTCATGTTCCCTATCAAGGCAGTTGAATCAGCATGCCACTAACCAAAAACTACAAAACACCCCATGAACATAAGTACAGGCTTTCTTTGATATTTGTTCAGAAGGAAAATTCATTTGTACAATCTATGAAGCATGTAACAATACCCTTTTGATGGTGAAAATTGTTTTATAAATATTAATGGATGTTTTTTTCCCTTAGTACTTTGTACTAGACATGGCCTTTGCGAAAGATGAATTTTCTGTAGAACTAAGATTCCATTAATGTGAAAGTGAACATTTGCATGTCTGAGCTGAGCTCCATACCTCCCAAATACATTCAATGACAGTTGCCGGTTGTCTTATTCAATGAGAAAACTTGAATGAGTGACTGTATTTGATTGGTGCATTGTCGACTATATGTTGTTCGGTCGATGAGTCATGTCCGACTCTCCATGACCCCATTTGGGGTTTTCTTGGCAAAAAAAACTGGAGTAGTTTGCAATTTCCTACTATGGTTCATTTTATGGATGAGGAACAGAAGCAAACAGGATGAAATTACTTACCCAGTGTCACATAGCTACTAAGTGTGTGAGGCAGGGTTGAAACTCAGGTCCTCCTTATTCCGGGGCCAGCACTCTATCCATTGCACTGCCTTGCTGTCCCTGTTAACCATAGGATCAAAAATTTAGAGCCAGAAGAGAACTTAAAGGCCGTAGACTCCCAAGCTCTCTTGGCAATACTTGAACCAAGGTCTTCTAGCACTCCATTGACTACACTTGCCTTGACACAGGAATGGATAAATTTTCTTTCAAAATAAAATTCTTTCATTTTTTTCTATTTAAAATTCTTAACAATACCACCCCTGACATTGAAATTTATAACAAGGAAAAATCCCTAAGCAAAACTTTTTGATGAATGACTTCAACTGTTTGTGTGTATTCTACTTTCCATACCCATAGGTATGCACCTTTACATTGTCACTAAAAAGTAGATTTTTGCATGCTCTCTTTTTTTTTTTTTTTTTTTTTTTTGGTTGGGCAGTGGGGGTTAAATGACTTGCCCAGGGTCACACAGCTAGTAAGTGTTATGTGTCTGAGGCCAGATTTGAACTTAGGTTCTCAAATCCAGGGCCAGTGCTCTATCTACCACACCATCTAGCTTCCCCTGCATGCTCTCTTAAATATGAAATGATACATTTTTAATTGTATTTTTTTAAGCAGGATATTTGAAGGATGCTTAACTTATCTTAAAAGGAAAGGGTCACATAAAAGTGACATAATACATATCTAGTCCACTTCTTAGGAGGAAGTTAAACACCTTTTTGAGCTGTATTTATTTTTTTTCAGGCTAGTAGAGTATATATTTCTGAAAGCATTGGTTTGTTCACCTAGCTAGAATGGCACTGATCAGTCTGGGGTCAGGGGCTAAAATCCCCAGTGATTGAGCAGCTTACTTTCTTTCTGTTCCTTGGCCAGGACTGGCCCTATCCAAGTAGGTAGTGCTATAGGTACAATACTGGGCCTAGAATTATGAATAATCTGAAGAGGCAAATCAGGTCTCAGACGAGGGGTGTGACACTGGGAAAGTCACGTCTTCATTTCCTTATCTGTAGAATGGGGATATTAATAGCTACTATCTCCTATGGTTGTTGTGAGTATTAAATGATATATTTGTAAATTGCAAAGTAAATGCTAGCTATTAATATCATTATTATTACTATACAAAACCACAGGTAGGTAATTGCCCAAATGATGTGATTTGAAGGATACTTAAGCTTCTCTCTTCCTTGTCCAAATACAGTTCTCCCATCAACCTGCCACTGTGGGGATAATTAAGTAGTTTGTAGTTTACCCCATTCATCATTCACTCAACAAGCAATTGTTAAGCACCTACTGTATGCCAGGCACTCTGCGAGGAGCTGGGTCGACAAAGACAAAACGAAACATTTCCTGCCCCCAAGAAGCGTGTATTCGCCTGAGGTGGGTGCATAGTGGTAGGTAAAGAGGATTCTGCCAAAAAAAAAAAGGCATAGTCCCTACCCTTAAGTGACTTAGAGGGATACATGGTGCTGTTGAAGGAGTTCTGGGCAACAGAAATCAGGAAGGAAATTTGGAAGAAGGGTGTCTTTTGGGGGAAGGATACTAATTTTACTTTTTGAAATATTAGGTTTGAGATATCTCTAGAGTTTTCAAGGCAAGGAAGATTAAGTCTTTGGGACAATATATGAGTCTATTGAGTAGGATAATCAGAGAAGGCTTCAAAAAGGCCTTGGACCTCAGTTTCCTCGTCTATAAAATGAGCAGCTTGGACCAGATGGTCTCTCTGAACCCCTTTGTAGCTCTACAATTGATAAATGTATATAATTAACATTTAGTCTAAGTTTCATGCATACAACCAATCAAACGCACAGCCATGACTTTTTATTTATACTGGAGTAGATTCTCTGCCCCTTTCCCCTCTCCACAAAGACTATAAAGGATATTGATTTTGTTGAGATTCAAGGATTTTTGAGATTCAGGAATAATCACTGAACTCTTATTATTCTTACATAATAAGGTTTCCTTGAACTGAGTGAGAAAGGACTAGAAAATATTTTGCCTACTAACTCCCTATCTTAACCAATAGCTATTATCTTCAGTTTTTTAGGTTAACTTTATTTTTTTTTCTTAGTGGTTTTTCCCTCTCAACAATGTTCTTGCCGTCCCACTTGGTAAAAGAACCCGTTTTGAAAATCTGGTCTTGCAAGCACTGAGTTCTGGGTCTAGATATGGAAATTTGCATTTCACTCATTCATCATGAGTTATTTTAGGCAGTTACTAATGACAATTTTCTTGAAGGGCAAAAACCAGTCTGAACTTTTTTGATTTACTGGTTTATTGATTGTGACCAAAAATTCTTTGATTGGAAACTCATCAGTCAGAAAGTCAACTTGATAGTATTTGCATATTTACTTTGAACATGTGGGTTTCAGCTGTCTAACACATGAGTAACTGAGGGGCTAAATTTACTAATAAGTTAATTAAAACATATTATATACCTAGAAAGAAGTTTCTTTTCTATTGATCATTATAATAGTGATTAACTACTGGGAAAATATTATTATAACAAGGAGAATGGTAGAAAATGCCTTTAGTGATGGCAACAGTACACTTTTAAGATTATAAAATGCAGAAGGTAATTACCACTTTATTTTCTGGATATATTCACAGTTCTGTGAGCTAGTAAGTTAGACATTTAATGGTATGGCTTACAGACTTAAAGCATCATTTACTGCTAAGAAATGTTTCTCCTTGTCAGCCATTGCAACATTCAGTCATTTGTAATTCCTCTTATGTGAATGTATATGTGTATGTGTGCATGTGCATGTATGTGTATACACAGTCAACATTTTTACATAATAACTTAATGGACTCATTTGTCAAAGGCTTATGGGACCATGAATGTATGTGATATATGAATCACCTAACAGAGTCAGTGATCATGGGACCATAGATTTAGAGGACCTTTTAGAGGATCTTAGAGATCAGAGGTTCATAAATGATGAGCTAGACAATACCGTAGCCCCTTTCTTACCTTTCCAGTCACCCTACACCTTATACTCCTCCATGAACTCTGGCTTCCAGTAAGCCTGGGCTTCTTGCTGTTTATCAGTCAGAACACTCTTGACTCCAGGCATTTTCATTGGCTGTTCCCTATGCTGATAATACTATCCCTCCTTGTCTCTGCCTTCTGGTTTCCCTGGCCTCCCTCAAGTCTCTGCTAAAATACTACCTTCTACAAAAAGCTTTTCCCAATCCTCTTTAAACTTGATGCCTTTTTTCTTTACCTAGTTTGTACAAAAAATGTTAGCCTGTGGTCTCTCCCATTAAACTCTCAAATTCTTGAGAGCATGTTATTATATGTTATGTGTGAAATAAAGATATATTACATATACAGTGATTAAGAAATATACTTATGCCTCACATAAACAGCATTACATCTCCTGCCTATGTGCCTTTGCCTGGACTTCTTTCCTATCTGCGCTGAATTCTGTTCCCCCCGACCCACACACACTTCTTGGAATCTGTAACATCTGTTAATGCACAGTTCACCCCTCCCCAAAAAAAAACAACATTCCTCATTCCTTCTGAAAGTTACTTTGTATCACTTTGTAGATATTTTGTGTTTACTTGTATGTGTAAATGTTGTATCCCTCCAGTAGATTGTAAACTCCTTGAGGGCAGGGGATATTTTTCTTGGTATTTCTAGCACCTACTACATACAGTAACTGACACACTGTAGGCACTTAATAAATATTGGTCAAATTGAAAAGAAAAGAAAAAAGTGTTTATGACTGCAACATGTAGTAATAACAAAGTTTAACTTTAGAAGAAGTCAGAATAGAGTGGCAACCTTTGAAACCTTTCTCCACTTGTAACTATGAAAGTTACTTATAACCTTCTCATTGACTTATGTTTTATTTTAAAGAATATGAACTAGAAATATGTTTTCACCTAAATACATATAGTCCATACAAATATATGACTTTCCAGAATAGCCAAACCTAAAAGGTCAGTATAGCTTAACTTATGTTTATATGTACATTACTTGTATCTATCTATCTCAAAATAGCAGAAGAATGCTCATCTTTCCCTCCTGTGTCCTGATCTACAGTTAAATATCCATCTATGCCTGTTTACTAAAAACACTTAACTTAAATATTCTTCATAGATATTCATTATTAATTTTCTCCTATTTTTGTAGTTGTGTGTTTTGATGCCAAGATAAACTTTGATGATAATGCAGAATTTAGACAAAAAGACATATTTGCCATGGATGACAAATCAGAAAATGAGCCTATCGAAAACGAAGCTGCCAAACATGATCTGAAGTACATTGGCCTGGATGGAAACATTGCTTGCTTTGGTAAGAAAACAAAGATCTTGACTGAGCATATGGCAAGATGGTTTGCAATTGCTTCATTATCCTTATTTTGTGAAATACATCTCAAAACTCAGGAAAACATATGAAGTTTTATAGCTAGTGATAATAATGATACTGGTGATGACCTATAATCACCAGAATATAACATCAATTCATAAACATTTAAAAACAATATTTTCAATATGTTACCATATTGAACATTCATAGAGACCTAGTGGAAAAAAAAATAAAAACAATATGAGAACAGAATGAAGGACATAACATTCCTGGTATCCCATCCAATCTAGAGTTGACTCAAAGATAGTTTCAGTGAGACTCCCTAACATCAACTTTGTTGTTCAGTCATTTTCAGTCATCTCCAACTCTTTGTGACCCCATTTGGGGTTTTCTTGGGCAGAGATACTGGAATCATTTGCCAATTCCTTCTCCAACTCATTTTACAGATGAGGAAACTGAGGCAAACAAGGTTAAGTGACTTGTCCGGGGTCACACGGCTGGTAAGTGTCTGAGGCCAGAGTTGAACTCAGGAAGACTCATCTTCCTGATTCCAGGCTGGGTACTCCATCCACTGCCCAAGATGAACTTAATTTCCCAATATTTTACTCAATTACAAGAAGCAGACATTTTATTTACCTATGCAAAAGGCCACTGAATATTAAACATTGAAAAATAATAGGATAGTGAGGTGTCCCAGGACCATTACTATCTGAACTCCATTGAACTAGATGTGATGAGTAAAACAACAATAAAAAACAGTAATTACCACATAAATAGTTTTCAAAGCACTTCATATATTTTTTCCTCATTTGATCCTGACAACAGTCCTTTGAAGCAAGTGCATAGATATGATTATTTCCATTTTACAGTTGAGGACACTGAGACTGAGAGAAGTGACTTGCTCAGGGGTCATAGAACTAGTAAGTATCCAAGGCAGGATTTGAACCCAGGTTTTGTTGACTCCAAGTTGCTAAGCTCTCTCTAGCCACTACCACATGCCATCTCAATAAAAATCCTAAGATGTGGTCTAGAGTTTTCTCTGAAATGTTTAGTATAATTGGAAATAATTTACTGGCTTAAAGTTCCACACATGATAGTCTAACTTTACTTTCTAAAAATTCAACATGTTTTCCCTCACAAGCCAGAGTTATTAAGACAACAGCTGCTCTGGGACATAGGTATAAAATGGAATTGTTTTCTCAATGGAAGTAAGAGAGGGCCTATAGTTTAATCATTATCCTAAACTTCTTTAGATTCAGTGATAGCAGAACAATAATGTGTTTAATCCGCTATTCCATTTTATTAACAGAAAAAATTGATTTCATCATTTTGATCTGAATTTGTGAAAATGGCTTATTCAGTTGAGATAAGAAAGGGTATATGGAGAAAAAAAAATCATTTTTGTAACTGTCCACAGAATATAGTGCTGAAATTTATACTCTAGCTGCTTAATTGCTAAAGGCTGTAGATTCTAGTAGTGCCCATTCATTGCATTGGTTCTGAAGTCTTAATCTTAACGGAATTAATATTAAATAAGATTTGTAGCTCATTAAATCAACCATATCATTATACCCAGAACCTCTGAGACCTCATTCTCGTACCTTGCTGTTGTCTACAATAGAAAATGACATAGACTTACATGTGATATAAAAGGCCTTATTTTGTGCAAGGGACAATAACTTTAATGGAGCAGAGTCCTCACATCTTTCTCAGGATAATAAACTAATGTACTCGTGATCTTTTACCATTTAAAAGAATAAAGGAAAAATTGGCACATTTAGAATAAAGTCAAGAAAGCTTGCTTAGAGAGGTGCAGAGATTTCCATGTTTTGAATAAATTTGAAGCCTCAAAGTACTGAAATTAACATACTTCCTGCTCTTTTGTAAGGTACTTGGAAATACTAGCGTGATTAGCTATGTCAGAGTTAATTAAATTAGTCACAGTTCAGAAGCTTCCATGAGGCATCAAGGGTCAGGAAAAAGTGAAGGATACTTTACTTTGAGAGGCTCTCCTATGTGAAAGAGAATTTTTCCTTTCAAATATAAGGAAAAATAATCACACATGACTGAGTTTGCAGGGTCAAAAGAAGGGGAAATTCATTGATGAAACTTACCTAGGGATCAGTGTGGCAGAATATATAGTGATAAAATTGGAATCAAGTAAAACCTGAGTTTGAATATAGCCTCAGCCACTCTATAGTTTTGTGGCCTTGGATGACTCATCTTTAACTTGTCTCAGCCTCAGTTTCCTCATCTGAAAAGTGAGTAGATTGATACTAGCTCTGATAAGGTTGCTGAAATAAAAGTACTCTGCAAACCTTAAGGGGCTATAAAAATGTGAATTTCAATTATTTTTTCCTAAGCAAGGAGAAGGATAGAAATTCTGTACTTTGTTTTTTCTGTCTTTTTTTTACAAAATTAAGTTTAATGATTTTCTCTTGGTTTTGAATCAGCACTAATTCTTAATAGGTCCTTCATTTGCCCTTCTCCAGCAAGTCATTTCTTATAACAAAGTAATTATATATATAATATTATATATTATTATTATACATAGTATAATATTATATATATTATATTATATATGATATAATATTATATATGTGTGTATGTATGTGTATATATATGTAGTGAAGGGGGGAAAACAGTTTAGTAATCAAGCACATATCAACCAAGTGAGAGGAAGTATTTTATAGTGAATATCAGCAAGAACTTAAAAAGACCTGGATTTAAATTCTTCCTCAAACACTTACTAGCTGCAGGATGTTGGGCAAGTCACTTAATTCTAATGGGGTTTAGTTTCTGCATCTATAAAATGAGAGACAGGATGGTCTCAAAGGGCTCTTGTTGCCCTAAATCTAAAACCTTATGATACCAAGTCTGATGGGGTATGTCCAGTTTCACACCTTTGGTCCTCTACCTCTATAAAAAAATGGCATGGTAAATACATTTTTGCATCTCTTCTTTAGAGAATACTTGGTCATTATAATTACAATTCTATCAAAGAAAATTTCCCCGTGCCTTCATTTGAGGAGTAGTCACCAGACTGTGAGTGATTATTTCAACTGTTGAAAAAGAAAGGCGTTAAGGTCACATTTTATTTAATTGTTGTTTTTTGTTTTGTTTTGTTTGTGCTGTTGTCATTACCTGGGATTTCATCTCCTCTCTCCTCAAGTTTAATATAATATCTTGGGGGTTTTTTCCCAAGAAATTTTCTAGTATTTTTGCTAAGTGTAAAACACTATGTCACTTGGATTCACTTTACAGTGAATGGTGCTGGGCTTGCCATGGCAACCTGTGACATCATCTCTCTTAATGGTGGGAAGCCTGCCAACTTCCTTGATCTTGGTGGTGGAGTAAAGGAGTCCCAAGTGTATCAAGCTTTTAAACTGCTCACTGCTGATCCTAAGGTAACTCATTTATTGTATGGAACAAAAGATCTAATGTTATGGAGTGGTCCTCATGGCCCCCTCTATAAAGGATGATTTTGCCATCTGCAGGTTGTCTTTTGTTCTTGCTGCTTTGGGTGATGCTCTGTGCTGAAACCAACAGTTGAGGTTTTCCTGAGTTATTAGGCTAACCTGACAACTCCAGAGAGTCTGTGGTTAATTCAGTATAATTTCCCAAAATGAAAATATCATCAGTTTTTCTTATTCCTAATCAGAAGCTGGAAAATTGTCCCAGGATTCCATAGGATGGAGAAATCTCAGTGTTGTGGAAATGTGGTGCTGCTCGAGACTTTGCAGCATTTATTGTCATTAACCATGTGGGTGGAAGGCATCGACATCCACTTGTACCCTATAAATTTATCATGTACTTAATTCACTTGGAGAATAGTTTTGATGGAGATTCAAAGGTTAAACTTGTCTAGATTGCTGTCTGAAAGCCAAGATGTTTAGATATTGTTAAATGACGGAAGTGTCATGAGATGGCTGGTGATTGTGTGGTATCCAGAAAGTTAATTTAGTTGTTAGTATTTTAAAGGAGCATAGATGTCTCTGGCAGTATGGCATAGTGGAAAGAACAATGAATCTGAAATCATAGGACCTGGATTCGAATCTTGGCTCTAACATTTATTATCTGTGTGACCTTGGGTCAATCACTTAACTCAGTTTTTTCGACTGTAAAATGAGAAATTGGACAAAGTTACCTCACTGGCCTCTTCTGCTTGCTGAGCTATCCATCTTCTGTCTTCCACTCCCAAATTCCTTATGCTGTTGTTCGTCCTTCTTCTCAAAGAGGCCCAGTGACATCAGGAGGGTAATGTATGTCTTCACTTGCAAGTGAATTGATTTTAAGTGAGGCAGAGTTGCACAAAGTCCAGAGTCATAAGGGTCCAGTGGCAAGATATGAGTCAAGATGACTGACAATGGTCCCAAATCTTTTATACTTCAGTGAAAAGAGCTCTGGTTATGCCGTCAGAGTACTTGAGGTCATATTCTAGCCATACATACTGACTGTATGATATCAAAAAGTCTCTTAACCTTACAAGGCCTTAGTTTCCTCATCTGTAAAACTGAGGTGGTTAGACTAGATGGCCTCTGAGGGTCAGCTCTAGGGCTATAATTTTATAATCCCTACAATTTGTTACTTGTTATACTATCTTATATGTTGGCTCTGTGTGTGTGTCCATGCACCAGTCTTCTTTCTTCAGTTAGATAGTAAGCTTCCAGTAGGTGAGCACCATATTTTATACTTAATCACTTTCTATGGCTTCCACAGTTGAGCATATAGGAAGCCCTGAATAAAATATTTGATTATTTATTTTGCCAAGTGGATTTTGTTTTAATTTGGGGTATTTACTTGGCATTTGATGACAGTGGTGAGGAGATAATTGCAAAGAGCCAGGGGCTGGGTTGTCTGAATGACCATTCATCCTATACCCTAGTTGAAGGAATGGTGACCCAATAGCACTAAACATTTCTCCAGCCCATCATCACAGGCAAGAAAGGATGCTTGCCTTTAATCTTATTCTTTTGGTGATTGACAGAATTGCTGTCATCAAGACTCTGACCCTTCACTAATATTTTAATTTCTAGCTTAAGTAAAATAATGTGAAATGATCCCAGGCACTTAAAAAGAAGCATTCTTATTTTAATACCATGCATGATCTCTCTTTAAAAGCTTTATTGGGGGCATCTAGGTGGTGCAGTGGATAGAGCACCAGCCCTGGAGTCAGGAGGACCTGAGTTCAAATCCAGCCTCAGACACATAATACTTCCTAGCTTTGTGACTCTGGGCAAGTCACTTAACCCCAATTGCCTCACTTAAAAAAAATAAAAAAATAATAAAAAAAAAGCTTTATTGGCCTACTGGCTGCAAACTGTATTAGCTAACAAAGCTCTCGAAATTATGCTCTCCCAGTAGTAATTCTTCTTTCAGCATAATTTAGCGTCACCTGCATTCTTGTTAACTCTTTCCTTTTTTTTCTTATTCATTGAATAAATAACCATGTTTTATCTGACACTGATCTTCCTTCCCCTAAGATTTTACTGGAATACCAAGTAATTGCAATCCATAGTCACTCAGCCACGAGGAACGTCTCTGGAAACAATTGTGCTGTTTGCCTAAGCACCCTGTCCTCAGAAGTGAAGTAGCAACATTATCAGTGATTTCCTAATCATTTGCTAATTCTCCTCTCCCCGTTTCTCTTCACTTCTAAGGGAAGGACATTTTCATCTCAAAAATTCCCAGGCCAATTAAAGATTGTAAATATCATGGACACCACTTGCAACCTCTTTAAAGTGCCTTCACTATCAAGAGCCCAGAGGACAGATGACTGTAATAAAACCCTGAACTTTTAACTAGGCTGAAATACAGTTTTAGAATAATGGAGAGCTGTGGAGAGATTAAATCTAGCAGGACAATGATCAGATTTGCCTTGAAATAGCCTTTCTCTATGAAATGGGTTGAATTTTAATTTTGTGAGAAAGGTAAAAAACAAGATCACAGGGGAACATTTGCATTTGTAAAATCCTCATGGAAAGTGTAGCCATAACTTAAACCTATTGGGCCTATCTGAAGCATTTGCTTGGAATCCTATATGAAAATGAGGAAGGGAGCCATTATGGGTGTATAGCATGGGTTTCCTCATTTTAACATTGTACTTGAAGCAAATGAATGCAGGTGCCTGAAATGGTCCATGTCCCATGATATTTAAATTTCAAATCAGGTTAAAAAGCAGGGAAATGCAAGAGTAGTCTCCATTCCAGCATTGTTTGCAAGATACTAGGTAGAAAACAGTATAGATTATTTCTCCTGCTTCTGCCAGGTAGGATATAGGCAACAGTTATTTTAAAATAAAACAACTACCAGCTACCCAGTGGTAGAATTCTCTAGAGCCCCAAAATAATTATTTCAAAGATATTGGTTGGTCTTATTACATATAAGAATCAGTCTGGTATATGTGCTAAGCTTCAAAATTATAATTTTTTTAAAAAAGTTACCACTTGTTCAATGCAAATCATATAAGTCAATACTGACAGCTGTTTACTTGACATATGTACAGATAATTCTATTGATTGACTAAAATGTACTGTATAATTGGAGTAGAATGTTGTATATTTATGTCAATTACATGAAACGAATGCAGCACATCATTGAAGCTTCCAGTGTTCTTTCATTTGAGTCTTTATCTAAGTGTGGATAGTTGTTATGCTGTGACTAAAATAAGCATATGTTTCTGTCTCTGACGCTTGGTATTTTGGGTTATGATAGTTCTCAAACCCCATAATCTCTCAGGTTTTTTGCTTGCAAGATAGCTAAATGCTGCATTGATTTCAATGGATGCTATTATTAAGTATTTTACAATTCGCTTATTTTTCACTTGTTGTTTTTGGCATAAAAGTAAAGAAATCAAGTTTATCCTGGTTAGTTACCGAATATACCTATTTGCAACTTTATCCTTTTGACTTAAGGAAGTCTAAATATTACCTCAGCATTTCAAAAATGCATGATTTCATTGGTGTGGAAACATTCCTCATGGATGTACAATTCACAGCTGCTTCTTGATTTTTTTTTAAAGTTCTGAAAATGCCTCTTCTCCATGCTCATTAACCTCCCCATCCCAACCCTGACCCTGGAACCAAGTCCTTTAGCAAAACTTTCTAGTCTTTACAAATTGCTATGGCTAAAGAAATAATATTAATTACTACTACTACTGCTACTAATAATTACTATTGTTGCTGTTACTGCTGTTATGGATTTGAATAGATGATGAGGCAAGGATACCTTGAACCTTTCAGAGGGTTTCAGAGGGTCATTTCAAGGTAGGGGAAGGGGAGAAGTATGGTCACTATTGGTGGAGGCAGTGTGGCACAAGAAAAAGAACCTAAATATTAATTTTATTATGTTTGCTCTAAGAGTAGTAGCTTTACATAATGTGGCACAAAATAGGTGCTTATTTATAGAGCACCAGTGACCTCTGATTATCTTAAGATCTTGAGCATATTTCAAAGGAAGATATGGCTTTGTGTTACTTTTTCGGTTTTGCTTTACCATTTACAAAACATTGATCAATGTCCCTCTGTTGAGGCTTAGGGGTGCTGGGACCCCGAAATCATGACACGTAGGTCCTGCCCAAATGAATTCAACCCAAGCCTTCTTTCAGCCAAAGACAAGGTTTATTAGAACATCATCATATTGGGAAGACTCTTAAAGAATCTAAGCATTTGTATTGCTAATGTAAGTGGGCCAGATTTTAAGAATCTTAGCACCTTAATGGAGACAAGATGGACCTTATATACAGAAAGACTGTGGGAGGGATCTAGGAGTGGCTAAATAGTTTGGGGTGGCTGGAGGAGGGGTCTGAGTATCTGGATGGGAGTGGCCAGTAAGCTGGGGTGAACAGACTGCTGGGGACCTGGACCATGTGGCCTAGGGAGAATGGAGTTTAGATAGGATTAAGGGTGAGATGGCGGGGTGGGGTTTGGGGGGCATCTGGAGGTAATAGACAATGGAGGACTATGTAACAGAATTGGGAGATTGGGTTTATAGTGAACCCCAGAGATTTGGCCCTGTGGGAGAGTCCAGGGGTCTTCCTTGCTGGGGTCCAGATCCCAACCTCATCACCTCCAGTTTAAAAGTGTATCAGAAACAAGCATGTTGAATAGTTTTTGATGTATGCAAAATGTCTTTTGTATAGGACTTAGAAAGAACTTTTGGCTTTGGTTGGGATGAGGATATTTCAATATATTCACAAAAGTGACTTGAGACTATTTGTCCTTTGCAGGCCAAAGATTCTGCAGATTAGTCATATGAAAATGTGCTTGCTAGAGCCACACCTAGATGATTTGGGAGTGTGCTCCCCTAACTGGACTTCCTGAAGAATAGCATAACAATCAATGTAATCTCAGATTTTTAAGCCATTTTGAGATCCTAGGAAAAATGGTTTCATATTAATGCCAAATGT